CTAGTCAACATTAATTCTTTCTTAATTTTTATCCCTCTTTTCCAGGTATTTACAACCTAACTATTGTTAGAGATGTCTCCCAAAGATATTGGTAACATACCCGAATCTGAGAGGATGAATGGAAGCTCCAATAATGGAAGCTTTATGAAGCCTCAACTTGAGCACCTTGATGAAAAGCAAAAGAAAACCTCGATCTCCTTTGTTAAGAATTGATATCATTAATTCATCACTCTACACTACATCACTCCAACTCACCAATGTTTTACCAACATTCTAGCCATGCTGTTATCACTGGTGCATTGCTGATTATTGGACCACCATAATGTTATAGAAATATTCCAATATGTTCCTTGAATTAAGGATCCACCTAACAGCTATATTTTCTAGATCCTTCTTGTATCAATAGCTATGTACTATATATTTGCAATCATCTTAGTGAATCAGACATCGATTCAGCAAATTATCTTCTTCCTTTTATCCATATTTCAACTTGGTATCAGAGCCATTCATGGCAGACGCCGGCTATACACCTCAAAACGCTAATCCATCCACAGTTCCAACTTCTTTTTCCAGCAGCACTACTGTACCAATGGTTAGAAGTAATCAGCTCTCACCATTTAGAGTTAATCTGACTCAAACCGTATCAGTAAAGCTAGATAAGAACAACTATCTACTATAGAAAAACATGATTCTACTAATTATCAGAGGGCACAATCTGGAAATCTACATTCTTAGGACAAAGATGTGTCCTCAAGAGTTTATCGGAAGTCAAATTACTGGTAAGGCAGGCACCAGTGTTGAAATGGTGAAGAACCCTGAATTTTGCCAATGGATGTCGACAGACCAACTATTGATGGGATGGCTTTATTCCTCAATGACTTCAGATATAGGAATGAGAGTAATGGGTGCAGTTAATTTGAGTGAACTGTGGACTGCCATTGAAGAAAGCTATGGAATCCAAAATAGATTAGGATAATATTCCTCACCGGTGAACTTCAAAAATGTAGAAAATGAAATATGAGTATAGATCAATACCTCAACAAGGTAAAACAACTCTCTGATAATTTAGAAATTGCCGGGAAAACCATTACTCTCACAGATTTAATCACTCAAGTCCTAGCTGGATTAGATGAAGATTATACGCCAATTGCTGTCCAACTGAACATCAGAGATCATATGTCTTGGGGAGAGCTTCAATCTACATTAATGACTTATGAAAGTAGACTGGAACACCTCAATTCAATCAGGAATGAAATGAATAGATTAAATATTGACCAACCTTCAGCTAACTTCTCTCAGAGATCTGGCTTTGCTCATAACCATTTTAGGTCAAACATGCCAAGAGCAGGAGGAAGATTCACTAACTTCAATCACTACAGAAGTGGAAGAAGAGGTAAAAGCAGATGAGCAATTCCTTTGGAGGAGATAGGTCTATTTGCCAAGTCTGTAGCAAAATAGGACATAAGGCAAACATCTGTCATTTTAGATATGATGAAAGGTACTCTGGAACTTCACTAAATCAAAGGATCAACTCATCACCTATAGCTTTCATAGCCTCTCCTAACACAATCAGTGACCCTGCTTAGTTCGCAGATACAAGTGCAAGCAGCTACATTACATCTGAAAAGGGAAATATTGCCTCCGCAAGTGAGTATACTGGTAAGGAAAAAGTTGTAGTGGGAAATGGAAGTAAGTTAAATATTTCATATTTTGGATCAACATATTTTCGTACCTTAAATGATAAAACATTGGTGTTAAATAAATTGCTACATGTACCTGAGATAAAGAAGAACTTAATCAATGTATCTTAACTCACCTCAGACAATAATACTTTCATGGAATTTCACCCATCTCGTTGTTTTGTTAAAGAGTTGTTAATGAAGGAGGTGATGCTATAATGGAGACTTAAGGATGGGCTATATCAACTGGAATTCCCTCATCAAGGCATCAAGCAACTTTATCATCAATCAAGCTTTCCAAATAAGTTATGCTGCAATATTTCTTCTGGCCCTATCAGTCAAGAGCCTTTTCTAAATTTTCCTGTCTATTCGAGTCTTAAGTCTTCAAATGTTGATGTATGGCACAAAAGACTTGGTCATCCATATAGTCAAGTGATGAACCAAGTTTTCAAAATTTGTAACCTGGAAATTGAAGAAAATACCATCAAATCCTTCTGCAATGCATGTTAACTTGGCAAATCTCATCTATTTCCTTTCCCTATATCTTCATCACATGTTGAAACACCTCTCGAATTGGTATTTACTGATATTTGGGGACCCGTTCCTATTATATCAACTTTAGAATTTAAATAGTACATAACTTTCCTAGACGATTACAGTAGGTTTACCTGGATTTATCCTCTAAAATTGAAATCAGAAGTACTAAAGGTATTTTGCCAGTTCAAAAAACTTGTTGAGAACAAATTAAACCACAAGATAAAGGCCTTGTAGGCTGATTGGGAGGAGAATTTAGAACCTTCACTAGCTTCCTTCAATAAGAGAGGATAGAATTTAGACATCCATGCCCATATACCTCAGCCCAAAATGGCCGAATAAAGAGAAAGCATAGGCACATAACTGAGACAGGTCTAACACTATTGGCTCAGGCTCAATTACATCCAAAATATTGGTGGGATTCCTTTCAAATAGTAACATACCTCATAAATAGACTACCTACTCCTACTCTCAAACAATAATCTCCCTTTCAAACTCTATACAAAAAGGAACTAAAATACAATGCTTTGAAAGCCTTTGGATGCTCTTGCTGTCCTAGCTTGAGGTCATACCAAAAACACAAGTTTAGCTTTCATTCAACAAAGTTTGTCTTCCTAGACTAAAGTGATGCTCACAAAGGTTACAAATGTCTGAACTCTTCAGGCAGATTGTACATTTCTAGACACATCATTTTCAATGAACTTGAGTTTCCTTTTGAGCCCTTATTCAAAAATCAATCTCAGTCTGAGGCATCTGAAGTAATTGTTCCTTATTCTTACTTGCCATCTGATCCAAACAAATGCTTTGAAGGTCCCATTGATACAGCTCAACCTGAAGCAGCTTCTGGCCAGCATCACCTGCTATCTGACTCGGGTAACAATCAACAAATAGATGACCTTCCTAATGACAGTCAAAGTGAGGTAGACAGAATTGAAGCTGAAAGCTGTGATCAATCAGAATCTGCAGAACCAGCAATTGAAGTACTACATGATTCTGAGAACAATCAAAATACTCAGGAAGTAGGAGAAAATAAGTTTCAAGGCAATCAGATTCAAGAAAGACCAAGAATTAAAAATCAACACCAAATGGTCACCAGAAGAAAAGTAGGAGTATTCAAACCAAAAATCTATCTGGTAAAGCCAACTAAAAGTAATCTAAATCCATCAGAACCCAAGTGTGTAAAAGAAGCAATGATGAATGCAAATTCGAAATGAGCCATGGAAGAGGAACTCAATACTTTGGCCAAGAAAAAAACCTGTAAGCTTGTACCTACACTACCTACTTATAACATAGTAGGAAATAAATGGGTCTTTAGGATCAAACGCAATGCTGATGGATCAGTTCAAAGGTACAAGGCTAGGCTAGTGGCAAAAAGATTTCATCAAGCCCCTAGAGTTGGCTACTATGAGACCTTCAGCCCTATGATCAAACCATCTACCTTGAGAATCATACTTACCCTGCTGGTCGCTAAGGAATGGACCATCAGACAGGAAGATATAAACAACGCTTTCCTCAATGGTGAACTCGAAGAATCTGTCTATATGAATCAACCTGAGGGCTTTGTCGATGAATCAAAACCAAACCATGTATGCAAACTCGAAAAGGCCCTCTATGGATTAAAATAGACTCCCAGGGCATGGTATGATAAGTTGAAGGTCACATTTTTGGGCTAGAAGTTCAAACAGTCTATAGCAGATACATCATTATTTTATTTTAAGACAGAACAATAGGTAATCTTTGCTCTCATCTATGTAGATGATATCGTTATAACTGGTAATGATAAAGACCTGATACAAAGCTTCATAAGCCCAT